GCATTGTTAAATACCAGAAGTCAAATTTAAAGGGATAGTTCACCCAAAAAATGAAAAGTCTGCCATTTACTCTCTCTTCAGTCGATCAAAACTTAATCGAGTTTCTTCTGTTGAACATAAAAAGAGATGTTTTGAAAAATGCTGGTTGCTGGCACCTATTGACTTCCATAGTAGGGGTTTTCAGACAATGGAAGGTGATCAGCATTCTTCGAAATATCTTCTTTTGTGTTTAACAGAAGAATAAATCTCATTAAGATTTACAACCACGTGAGAATAAATGATAATTTTGAGGTGAACTATAACTTTATTTTAACATTAAACTATTGTAGGTATAATGTGTATTTTTAAATAAATGTGTGTATAATGTATACCATGCACTAAAGCATTTAATTGTGTATAATTAATATATTTATGTTTATTTTATTATGTTTTACTTTAATTAAAGTAATATGTAATATTTTATCATATATTTATAATACATGTATATCAAACATACCTAACAAAATGTAGAAGTTAAATGTGATTTTGGTTTTAAACATTTTAATGACGTGTTTGAAAAATAAATTCAATGGCAAATGCAATTAAAATATGGTTAAATACACAAATATTATGTAATTACAAATACATGGTAACACATTAGTTTAATTATCAATTTCCATTATTAACCACTTGCTTATTACCTGCCTATTATTAAGACATCAACAGTTTATTAGAACTTATAAAGTACATATTCTGCATGATCTTATCCTACATCCCTAATCCTAAACCCAAATACTACTTTAATAAGCAGCAAATCAGTAGTTTATGGAGCTAAAAGTCGTAGTTAATGGCTTGATAATAGTGTGAATTGCCTTTAAACATACAGTGTGACCAGAATAGTCTGTGTTTGATTCATTTTGTCTTCTCTGCTGGTTGCTGGCACCTATTGACTTCCATAGTAGGGGTTTTCAGACAATGGAAGGTGATCAGCATTCTTCGAAATATCTTCTTTTGTGTTTAACAGAAGAATAAATCTCATTAAGATTTACAACCACGTGAGAATAAATGATAATTTTGAGGTGAACTATAACTTTATTTTAACATTAAACTATTGTTAGTATAATGTGTATTTTTAAATAAATGTGTGTATAATGTATACCATGCACTAAAGCATTTAATTGTGTATAATTAATACATTCGTTTATTTTATTATGTTTTAATTTAATTAAAGTAATATGTAACATTTTATCATATATTTATAATACATGTATATCAAACATACCTAACAAAATGTAGAAGTTAAATGTGATTTTGGTTTTAAACGTTTAAATGAAGTATTTGAAAAATAAATTCAATGGCAAATGCAATTAAAATATGGTTAAATACACAAATATTATGTAATTACAAATACATGGTAACACTTTAGTTTAATTATCAATTTCCATTATTAGCCACTTGCTTATTACCTGCCTATTATTAAGACATCAACAGTTTATTAGAACTTATAAAGTACATATTCTGCATGATCTTATCCTACATCCCTAATCCTAAACCCAAATACTACTTTAATAAGCAGCAAATCAGTAGTTTATGGAGCTAAAAGTCCTAGTTAATAGCTTGATAATAGTGTGAAGTGCCTGTTAGCATACAGTGTGACCAGAATAGTCTGTGTTTGATTCATTTTGTCTTCTCTGTGCTGGTATAAGGAAGTTTCTGCATTTATTCATTAACATGCACAGGATCAGAATGTGTGGTTATACATACAGTACATTTATAATAAGTGTATAACAAAAATACCTTATTATGTAGGAGTCAATTGTGATTTTGGTTTTAAACATCAACATTATGTATTTAAAAATATAATTAAATGCAAAATTTAATTAAAATATAGTTAAATACAAAAAATATATTGTAATTAGCAATATATGGGAACACTTTGATTTCCCCCTATTAGATACTAGCATATTCAACACCTATTATTGATATTGGTTATTTGTACTTCTAAAGTACATATTCTGCATGATCTTATTCTGCTTGCCTAATCCTACCCAATACCTAAACCCAAATACTGCCTTAAAAACCATAAATAAGCAGCAAATCAGTAGTTCATGAAGCTAAAAGTCTTAGTTAATGGCTTGTTAATAGTATGAATTGCCTGTGAACAACGAAGAGCGCAAATGCTTTCAGGGCGTGTCAGGACGCGTTTTTGCTAATTTAAGGACGGGAAAACCTGCTTTGCGCCGTGGCGCATGGGCTAAAAGGGTTGAGTTTATTTTCTTAATGAGTTATAGGTGTGTTTTGAGAATAAACCAATTATAGTCTCATCTCCCATTCCCTTTAAGAGCCAGCTGCGTCACGCCAAGAGCGCATTCACTATTTACAGGACGTAAAGTAAGTCTAAGTGAAAAAAATGAGCATTTCACTAGCAAACAGTTAACAGTTAACAGTTCTTTAACAGAAAACTGTTAAACAGAGCATCTACTGCATAAGAATGAGAGATAATGGATCTACTTTTACATTCGCTCTTGGATAGGGAAACCTTTACGCACAGACATCAATTAGTCTATAAATAATTAATTTTGTTTTAGCACAAATATTAATTTCAAAAGTATTTCTAAATTCAGTTCTAATTTCCAGCAAACGAATAAATGAACAAAAATAACGAAGTGTGCTCAAAAACCTGAGTTATATCCTAAAACACATGCTGTGCACCATATGGTCTAAAACCTGACAGGTGGGCAAATCTAAGCTTGTTTTTAATAAAACAAATATAAATATGGATATAATAAATAATACTGCTAATAATAATAACATTACACAAAAGCAAATTATTATGAATGAACTGAAAAAGCCTCCCTAGATGAAGAAGGCATAAAAGCAGTGATTTTTCATATTTATGTAGGCCAGAAATTAATATGTTTTGTAATATTTTAATCCTTTATATTTATATTCTATATCTATTCTTATTATATCCTATATATATCCTTAATATTTAAATTTTTTCATATGTAAAGATATTTGCCTATTGCTCTTTTGTGTGTATTAAGCAGTGTGTAAGCGAGGCGCAACTCTGCGCCGGAGTTTAGACCGGGTTAGTGTTGGTCTAATGAAAAATCTATTAAAGTTTCTCAAAATAGCGACGCGCCAGCGGTCCACCTCAGAACGCCTTACTTTTTACACCAGAACGCCTACGGGCACACAAATGAGCGCTAATGCATTTGCTATTTAAACAGCGTAGCGCAACGCCTCAAATTGACTCTTGCGCCAAGCTGAAACTACCAAAAGACTATTGCGCCGCGCCTTGCGCCACACTGCGCCGGGTGTATGATAGGGCCCACAGTGTGAACAGAATAGTCTGTGTTTGATTAGTTTTGTCTTCTCTGTGCTGGCATAAGAAAGTTTCTGCATTTATTCATTAACATGCACAGGATCACACTGTGTGTTTATACATACAGTACATTTATAATAAATGTATTACAAAAATACCTAATGTATAAAAATCTAAGTGAATTATGTATTTTAAAATATATGGTAACACTTTAGTTAAAGCCCCAATTGCCACTATTAGCCACTAGCTTGTTGCACACCTAATATCGATATTAGCTGTTTATTGAACTTCTAAAGTACATATTTTACATGATCTTATTCTACATGCCGAATCCTACCCAATACCAAAACCCAAAAGCTGTCTTAACAACCATTAATTAACAGCAAATCAGTAGTTTATTGAGCTAAAAGTCTTGGCTTGTTAATAGTGTAAATTGTATATTAACATAAAGCGTGACCACATTAACAAAGTGTGTCTGTGTTTGATTCATTTTGTCAGTGTTGGCATAAGAAAGTTTCTGTATTTATTCATTGACATGCACAGGATCAGAATGTGCAGCACATCCATCTGCTAACTCCACACGATTGTTTCCTTACAGCTGTCAGTGTGAACTTGGCTCAGCCGGCGGCAGCTCTTCAGTCTCAGAAAGCCCAGGCGTCTCCGGCTCCTCAGCAGAAAACGGTCAGTCTCTTCTCTCAGTCTCACTTCTCACTTTTGATAGTCTACTTAAGAGTGGTACCTGTTAGAGTTGGTTGGAATGTCATTATCTGTGTTTTCGTTCAAAGATTCACCTGTTTACCCTGCTCTATTGTGTGCATATGTTTTTTTTTTTAAATACGTATTTTTAAAAAGTATTCCCATTTTGCCATGTCGATTAAGCATTTTTTATGCAGTATTCTAAGGCTGTGTCCACATGTACACAGGTATTTTTTACTAAATTTTTAAACATAACTTTATTTTAAAACTTATTTATAAAATAAATTGCATACAGTTCAATGCTAACATAATACAGAGGCGGATAATTGTCCGCGGTGCGAACTGCAAGGATTACGCAACACGTATGTTGTAAACTCTGCTGTAAACATGCAGTATTTTGGTTTCCGCATTTGGTGTAAGCCCAGCCATGTTGATCAATCAGAAGTAAACAACATGCATGTAAATAAAAATATTTGTTAAAAACAAAACTAAAAAAAGTAACTATAATGTGATTATATAGGGTACAGTATGGTTATATACTTTAACAGTGTGTAATTCTCACTGTTAATTTTAACGCATTAACTAGTTCACTTATTTTAATCACCCTAAAATAACTAAATAATACAATTAAAACTGAAAATGAATCAAATAAGCTTAAATCAGGAAAAAAAACAGGTAAAATAAACAATATGCAAAACAGATGAAGGAAAAAAGAATAGTTAGGTAATAAAATATTAATGAAATAAATCATAAGTAATTTAATAATTTATATGAGCAGCATTACACTTGTAGCAGTGCTGTATATCGGCCAGTGATGAACATACAGCCATATTGCACTACAAGTGTGATATGCTGTTGTACAACAGTTTGACAGCATAATTGTGTATATAAAAAAGAGAATCAAACATGGTGAGTCTAAAAATCCTTTTGTACGAGGAACTACTTTCTTCCGCCGTTCATTTACATCTGCGGCTGACGTCAGAACAGCAAAAACCACAGCGTAATGTCTAAAGTGATGATAAAATAGGTGATTTTGCTCACATTTGAAGATTATAAGGCTGAACGGCATGAAATGCCATCAGTCAACTGAGATTTCCCAGTATTTCTCTGTTGAGGATCACAATTATTAACCCCGAAAAAGCCAGAGCAAAGCAAACACTATCAGAAAAATTACTTTGGTATAAATACAGCACTACAACATACAAAAGAGAGAGATCGACTTAGAATATCACTTACCAGTTTTATAATGATTTGATCAGCTGTAGTTTGAAATTACGCTTAGTTTTTCTCCTCTGTGGATTTATTATGCGACCTCTGTTGCCATCTTGTGGCGGAACATCAACTGTCTTTGCTCTGCTCAGTATGACAGGCTGATGAATGCTGACGTGCTCTATCTCCTAAATTGAAAAATATTTAATATAGGCCCTATCCCTATAAATAAACTGCAATCTAAACAATTACATTCTCAAATAAAAAAGCCTCAAAAGTGCATTATGTTGTCCAGCAGCTGCAATATTGGTCAAACTGTAGTGAGTTTATTGATCTTCTGTCATTCTATATGGGCGGAGTATTACAGAAGGGTGAGGAGGCTGTACGAGTGCTGTTATTGCAGAATATCGCAGATATTTAGATATATCAGATTCGAGAACAGAACTGTTGTAAAGAGTTTTCAAAAAGGTTTCGGTTTCAGTCAACTGGTAAAACGGGTAAAAAAAACTGGTAAAACGTTGAAAAAAAAAGTGCAGTTTTAAAAATACCCGTGTTCTTGTGGACAAGGCCTACCTAAAATGCACATAAAAATAGCTTGATGGAAACATAGCTACTGTTACAAATAGCAACTGTGTAAGAATATGTGGTAAACAAAACTGACAGCCTGTGGCACGACCATAGTTTACGTTTTAGTTAGGCGCAGGATTTATGTAGCACAGGGGTGGCCAACCCTGTTCCTGGAGAGCCACCTTCCTGCAGATTTCAGTTGCTACCCATATCAAACACACCTGAACCAATTAATTAGGACCTTTGCTACCCATATCAAACACACCTGAACCAATTAATTAGGACCTGAACACCACGTGATAATTACAGGCAGGTGTGTTTAATATGGTTTGCAACTGAAATCTGGAGGAAGGTGGCTCTCCAGGAACAGGGTTTGCCACCCCTGATGCAGCATAATTTCACAAAAACAGATTGTTTTTACATCATGGATAAAGATAAAAATGCAATATGTTGCCTTGGCCTATAGATTAAATAGATCAGAAAAATAATTGTTCCAGCTCTTCTGAATTATATTGCATTGAAAAAAGTAAATACTGCAAGTTAAAATATGGTCAGTGTTACTGGATGAAACGGTGATAAGGTCTTAAAACATGAATCGAAATGGGAATACTTTGTTGAAAATGCGCATTAAAAGTTATCAATTCCAGTTTGAATTATATTGCATTTAAATGTAAAGGCACTGGAAGTTGAAATGTGGTCAATGTATTTCCGGATGAAACCTAAAGTGGGGATAAGGTCTTAAAATGTGATGAAAGAGTCTTAAAGTTATTTAATATCGCTTTCTGTTTCCTGTATATTCCCTTATGCAAATAACATAATAATGTGGGAAGTAGGGTGGAATTCATTATCAATCGATACTGAAATTTAAAACCGTCCATTTCCCGCTAACATTTGAGCGCCATTGAGCGCGTTCTTAAACACCACCGATTGGCCATTGTGTTCACATGCTCAACAGAAGTGACTGTGATTGACTTTGAAGGTCATCAGTTCACCAAACTCACTGCTGTTTACTGAGTGTAAACACAGATACAGGGACACTGGAGCATTTAAAAGCCTCAATTCAGCGGATCGCCTGTATTTCAGCTTATAGACAAACCAGCTGATCGACATGACTTTGAAACACTCCAGTGTCCCTGTGTCTGTGTTTACACTCCGTGAACAGCGGTGAGTTCAGTGAAGTGATGACCTTCACGGCCAATCACAATCATTTCTGTTGAGCATGTGAACACAATGGCAAATCAGCACTGTTAAAGAACGCACTCAACAGCACTCAAATGTTAGCGGGAAATAAAATTTCAGTACCGATTGGTACTGAATTCCAGTATGTGGTAAATGTGTGGTAAACTAAAGCGACAGCATTATTAGTTCACATCGAAGTACAATAGTCTCGTACCTGTCTGTGTAGCAGCCGATCCCCGTCACAGTCACGGCTACAGCAGGAGGCATTCCAGCTGCAAGCCCCACCCCTCAAAAAGCAGTAGCCACGCCTCCTCCATCAAGCCCCGCCCCGCCTACGGCACCTGCAAGAAGTGCTCGTCGCAAGCAGGCATCAGTGGCTCAACAGCAGTCAGTGGTAGCCCCGCCCACTGCCACTCAGCCAGCTGTTGCCCAGCCCCCAGCCCAGGCGGAGCCAACAGCAGCTCCTCCCACCGTCCAGCAGCCAGCGCCTCAATCCCAGATCAGCCCAGAGGACGCAGAGGAGAGGGTAACCAGCTCATCCTGTGCATGCTGCGCTGTCCCGCATCATTCAGAGAGCACTTTCACTAATGATGCGCCTCATGCTGGGCCTGCGCTTCATCATCCATTGTGTGGCATCTCTCCATGCTTGATTCATTTCCGATGATTTCGATCATTTCTGTGGTGTGACAAAAATTGGTTTCTTTTTGCTTATTGGCTAGAGACTGACAGTGTTTTCGTTAAAATGATCAGAGTTGTATGCTTGTGATTGTGTTTTGCTGATCATTTAATGGTTTTACACTGCGTTCATTTCTGATTTGTTTGTCAAATGTCAAGCGGATGAAATCAGATCTGTTTGTTCAGGCAGTGCAGTTATTATGCTGTGTGATTAGATGGGTTGACAGTTGGAATGAGTTTTTTTTTTTTTTTTGGTCAGTGTTGCGCAAAAGAGGATTGAAAGTATGACCAGGGGCGATTTGAGGATTTTCTATATATATAGGTATATGTATATATATGTATATATATATATATATATATATATATATATATATATATATATATATATTAAGGGTGGAGCCGAACCCGAATACGGTATTCGGAAAGGCACGAATAGCGTGTTTTTACGAATACTTGATTCGAACAAATACTTGAAAAATTATTTGTATTCGGGAGCAAGAAAAACATTATATCAAAAAGCAGCGTTTCCTCATGAGACCACAGTGCATGCCCGCGTGAGAGAGAGAGTGAGTGTGAGAGAGAGAGAGAGAGAGAGGCAAAACGCGCCAAAGCCCGAAACTGAAAGCGAGACGTGACTTTTAAGGGGTTGTTTCATATGGATTTATTAATCATTCTTACTGTTCAGTGATCGCAAACTGCTGTAGTTTATTAAAGACGCAAACTCCTCACTGCACGTCAGCTGCGCGCCTTCAGCAGACCTCCTCATTCCTGCAGCACGAGAGCTTTATGATTGTTTATGAGCGCCAAAAGTGGCGGATCTGTCCGATGAAATATCTGACTGCGTTTCACCGCATCCCTAAGGACTGTTTGGCGAAATATTTGACTGCATGTCACTGCATAACAAACGACTGAAAGGATATAACTAGAGAACTCTCCACTGTGCTACTGGATGAGAGCGTATAGCAAGCCGTTTTAGCATTTAAACCTTGTTCAGACTATCCATAAATATATTTAGAGATATCTCTAATTATATTTTGACTTGTCATAATTATAATTCGACTAGTCAGATTGGAAATATCTGCAAATATATTATGATAGACTAGTCATATTCCTCCATTGACTTCCATTGAAAAATATTTGCAGATATCTCTAAATAAGTTGACTAGTCACAATTGTAATTAGATATATCTCCAAATGAATTTTGAGTAGTCAAAAATCCAATTCAAGATATCTACAACTGTAATTAGACTTTTAGTAAATTAATTAGAGATATCTTCAAATATATTTGTAAATATCTCTAAATATGATGAATTAAAGAGATCTCTAAATGTATTATGACTAGTAAAAACTCAGAGATATCAATTACAATTGTTACTAGTTCATCTGATTTCGTACTAGTACAATTGTAATTGCAGATATGTCTAATTGTCATTCTGAGTAGTGGAATTATAATTATGACTAGTCAAAATATAATTAGAGATATCTCTAATATATTTATGGAGCCAGAACAAAGATTTAAATGCTAAAAAGGCTTGCCATAGAGAGTGCTTCTCACTGAACAGAGCCGCAGCGCAACCTTCTATGTAATGTATTATCACATGCACTAAAAGCATCCTAAAAGCATCAACACAGCCACATTCTGCCCCAGCAAGTCAGTTTCAAACATAAAAAAAACAAACAAACAAACTTTGTGTCTTTTTTTGTGGCTGGCAGATGATAATAGCAGGGCTGTATCTTTTAGTATTATATAGAATACTTTTGTTCTGCCAGATCTCCCGGGCAGGGTTTTATTTTGATTTATTTAGCTAATTTTAGTTTTTGGAATTCTGTGCATTGGAAAGAAGTTCTTTCAGAAGAAGAACAGTTTTTTGAAGTATTATTTGTTTTTATTCTTTCTATTCAGTGTCCTTCAACAAGAACGGTGGTGGTGGGGTTCATAATATTCACAATGGTATTTTATTAGTTGTTGGTTTAACCATGGATGAGATAATGGCTTCTATGTTATTTTCTTTTCAATGACATTTCTTATCACATGTTCAAAAACAACAGCCAATATTGCATATCTATAATTTATATAATGGGTATAATTAAACAATACTTTCACTATAACGTAAATTAGAAGTGTAATAGAAAAAATATATATTTTTGCGCCATTTTGAATTTTACTCGAATACAAATACAAATACAAATACTTTTCCCCCCTCAACAAATACAAATACAAATACTGGCTGCTCCGCACATCCCTAATATATATATATATATATATATATATATATGTGTGTGTGTGTGTGTGTGTATATATATATATATATATATATATATATATATATATATATATATATATATATATATATATATATATATATA